GATATCTGATCTGGTGTGTGTGTGTGTGTGTGTGTGTGTGTGTGTGTGTGTGTGAAGGTAATGAGGATTCGATGAGTAAGATCTCAGAGCTCATTCGGCCTCTACAGATGACTGAGGGGGAGAAGGTAGAGCTCCTGTCTGTCAAACCCACCTTCCTGTCACGCAGCACAACCTCCAGCCCACGGCGAGCCTTCCTCTCAGAGGTGCGGCCCGTCATCTCCACTGCTGTGAGTATCACAAACTAATCAGTGAGTGTTAGTTCATTTTGCCTTTAATGTTAACCATTTACAGTTTGATTTTAGTCTTGAGGTTTAATCTTTTAAAATAGATTACATTGCATTTTCTGAAGGAAATGGCAGAGTTTGCAAGCCAGCACAAGAATGTTAATGTGTTAATGGGCTTTAGATTTTGGTTCTGTATGTAAATGAAATGCAAGAATCAACCAATAAAGCGACACAAGTACAGGCAGCTATAGATGGCTAAATAGATGCCAAAAAAGAAAATACCAATTATAATCTAGTTTCCAAATAAACACAAGAAAGAAAACTAATTTTCACATTTCCAGGGCTCTCAGAAACAGTTGGGTAAACTTCTGGATGAATGGAAACTACAACAAAAATATTTTTGAGTTCCCATTTGCTCCAAAAGCAAAAGGAAAAATCAATGATAGTGTTTCTATGACTTTTCAAAAGGGGAAAAAAAACATTGTTAGATTGATTACAGTGGTCAGATAAGAGAAAGATGTCAAATTTGCCATCACTTCCTCACCTGTTGTGTTAAAAACATCCACACAGCAGTGTTCTGAAATATAATGCAAAGGTAAAATAATACAAGGTTTAGTGTTATAAATGTACATTAAATTTTAAAAAATGTTAAATGAAAATATAAAAAAACTGTACTAGATTTACGATGTTAAAGGGGTCATATGATGCGATTTCAAGTTTTCCTTTCTCTTTGAAGTGTTACAAGCTTAAGTATGTTTTGTTATTAGTTTAAGTATTTGCTATTGACTGAGTAACGTGTCACGTCACTGAGTAACGTAACTGATAGAGGACCTACAATAATGTACAGTATTTGAAAAATAATGTGTTTTTTGAACATTAAAGCATGTCAACATATTCTGTTACACCAAATACACAAAATAATGATCTTTAAAATAGCATCATATGACCCCTTTAATAACTCTGAAAATATATCACAGCCTGTGAAGAGTCCATGATGACTCTGAACTATGACTATCAAACTAAAAAGTTTGTAAATAGTCAATGAATAGAAGAGAATAGAATAAAGTAGATTCTATTCTAACCAATATATTTCTAGATTCTAAGAGAGCAAAGTAGATTCTAGTAGTGTGTCATGTACCGCAGTGATTTGGCCATTATGAGAATAATTACAGTATACATTGACAGACTGTGTGTGTGTATGTGAGAGTGTGTGCAGGTGTGAATAGTCCAATCTGTCTGCTCAGACTGTGCTCTGCTGGTGTTATTGGCTTAATCGCCCACATTATCTGATTGCACACTGGACTTTGCTTTCAATTATTACAGACTCCATTTTTGCCCAAACATTTATCAAAAATCAAAACTTGAAAAAACAATTCAGTTTTACAACCCATTGATTTGTCATTGACTTTCTTACCCGTTGTTCATACTGCACACAAATCTGCTTTGGTTTTCAAATCCGATCTTTAGGTCTGAGTGTGCACAGTGTCATTTTGCAGTTTGATTAAATATGATCCGCTTCAGGAATTGTCACCAATATCTGGTGTATCTACATCACAAAAGACACATCCTGAATTTCGAAAAGCAGCTATCTGAAATCTGATCTGACTAGACTGAAAAATCAGATGTAATCTGATTTGAAACCACATATGAATGTGGTTTGGATCAGGTTTGTTAACACTGGATTTCATGTGGTTTGTTGCTGTTCAGACTACAAAAAAATAAACAGATTTGAGTCAGCTATGCCCAAAAATCTGTCTGAACAAAGCATTAAACTCCCTGTGCTGTCAAGGCTTAGCATGCTGCTTAACAACAACAATACTGTAAGCTAGTAAAGCTGACTATTAACTCATCTATCCACTTTTCCTCTCTCCTTTAGATGGACAAAGAGCAAGGCTCGTCCCCCAGGTCTAAGTCCAGATACACAGGCAAAGTGCGATTGTGTGTTGCTCGCTACAAGTGAGTGGATCCACTACAGCTGTTGTAACATGTTACAGTACGTTACAATAGGACTTTGCTGTAATAATAGGTTATAGCATGTCCTTATCTATAATGATTTGTTATATCATGCCATTAGCTGTAATAATTAGGTGTAGAATAGCATTAGTCACTGTATTAGGTCTGCCTTTAAGAAATACTCTGGGTTAAGTACAAGTTAAGTGTATCAACAACATCTGTGCACACTGTCAATTACCACAGACAAGCATTTCAACTCATCTACCAAGCACAGCAGATAAACTTTTAAAATATACTTTCACACTCTTTTGATAGTATAATCATAGCACTTATGATAACACTTATGAGACTGGTTTGGTGCAATCAGAAAATATCTATTCAATTTATGTTAAAATCATGTGAACTTGGTAAACCAGGTAACGTCTCGGTTACGTATGGTAACCCTCCACTCGAAGTAGATTGGTCTCTCTAAGCCAGATCCCAATTCGTCGGACATCCGAAGTGACGGCGAGAGTGACCGACTGAAAGGGAACTTTGTGTGATATCCATTTAAAGATACTAGGAAAGGTTGTAATGTAAGCATCTGCTTTTAATTCCTCTGGTCATCTTGCCCCATAGGCTTCCATTGCTCCACTAGCATGGCCAGGTTGTATCATAAAAATAATGAAAAATAATGTTTCAAATGGGTTTCACCCCACTATATCAGGCTGGCTAGGATGCTTGAACAAACTGAGCAATGATTTTTAACCGCCACAGAGCTATCAACCCACAAATGGCTTAGTAATATCACCATTTTGTTCTAATACTATTTTGAAATTTAAAAAATGTATAGACTTCTCCTTTAGGTTTTTGATTTAATAATAATAATAATAATAATGAAGTTCATTAAATTAATTCAGCATGTACTCCCTGCAGTTATAACCCTTATGATGGCCCCAATGAGCATCCTGAAGCAGAGCTCCCCCTGGTGGCTGGGAAGTACCTGTATGTTTATGGGACCATGGATGAGGACGGCTTCTATGAGGGTATGTCACATTACAGTACAACTTCAGAGCAGTTATACACTACCATTCAAAAGTTTGGTTGTCAGTCAAGGACATTTTTTAAAGTAGTCTCTTATGCTCAACAAGGCTGCATTTATTTGATTAAAGTAAAAACACAGTAAAAACTGTAATATTGTGAAATATTATTACAATTTAAAATAAGAGTTTTCTATTTGAATATATTTTAAAATGTAATTTAAAATTTCCTATTTATAATAATCATTTGATGGCAAAGCAGAATTTTCAGCAGCCATTATTCATTGCTCTGTACCCTTTTCTGTTCTCCAGGTGAGTTGTTGGACGGACAGCAGGGTCTGGTTCCCTCCAACTTTGTGGACTTTGTCCAGGATGAGGAGCTCCCGTCAGTTCCTCTTTTGGACCGCATCAAGGAACCGTCCTACCTCAACCACAGCCCCGCCTCCATGCCCAGCAGTGCCGTCAGTACACTCAGCACGCTGCTCTCAGAGAAGCTGGATGCCCTGGGCTCGGGTACCGGGACGGGCACCAGCAGCAGCAGTGGGGTGAGCAGCTTGGGCATGGGTCTGGGCATGGACTTTCTGGGACCCTGCAGCAATGGCACAGGCACGCTGGACGTGAACATTGACGAGATCGGAGAAGACATCGTGCCTTACCCCCGCCGCATTACCTTGATCAAGCAGCTGGCCAAGAGCGTTATCATAAGCTGGGACCCTCCGGTGGTGCTGCCCGGGTGGACGTCCATCAGCGGCTACAATGTACTGGTGGATCAGGAGGTACGCATGAGCGTGCCCTTCGGCGGCCGCACCAAGTCTTTGATCGAGAAGCTGAACCTGGCCTCCTGTATGCACCGCATCTCCATCCAGAGCATGACGGAGCGGGGGCTCTCCGATCCGCTGCGCTGCACACTGCTGATGGGGAAAGATGTGGTTGTGGCACCCTATTACCTTCGTGTGGAGAACATCACACAAGTATCGGCTGAGCTCACCTGGATGCCAAGCAACAGCAACTACAGCCACATGATCTTCCTGAACGACGTGGAGTATGATGTTGTGAAGCCTGGAGGGTACAAATACCACTTCTACAACCTCAAACCCATGACAGTGTATAAGGTACGGGTGGTGGCCCGGCCCCATCAGATGCCCTGGCAGCTTCCCCTTGAGCAGAGGGAGAAGAAGGAGGTCTCAGTGGAGTTCTGCACACAGCCAGCCGGTGGGTCAGCTAACACTGAACGCACACTCAACTTCACATTGTTAATTTCTTATTGCTTAGTGATTTGAGATCTTGTTATCTCTAGGGCTGTCAGTCGATTCAAAATTCAAACTGATTAATTGCATAATATTTTGTTGCGCCATAGCTTGACATGCGTTCTTGCATGTCAGTCTATAAATATATATATATATATATATATACAGTGGGTACGGAAAGTATTCAGACCCCCTTAAATTTTTCACTCTTTGTTATATTGCAGCCATTTGCTAAAATCATTTAAGTTAATTTTTTTTCCTCATTAATGTACACACAGCACCCCATATTGACAGAAAAACACAGAATTGTTGACATCTTTGCAGATTTATTAAAAAAGAAAAACTGAAAGGCTTTACTGACGAGATGCGCATGAAAATCGCATTTGATTTTTTTGCACAGCCCTAATATATATATATATATATATATATATATATATACTGGATTAATGGATTAATGGCTGCTGAAAAATCAGCGTTGCCACCACAGAAATAAATTAAATTTTAAAATATATTAAAATATAGACCTGTTATTTTAATTTCTAATAATATTTCATATTATTACTGTTTTTACTGTATTTTTGGTTAAATAAATGGTGAGCCTTGGTGAGATAAGATCTTACCAACCCAAAACTTTTTGTTATAAATTATCACACTAAATTGGCATGTTAAATTGTCAGCCCTAGTTATCACTCATTCACTGCTAAACCTTCTTTTTAAGCCTCATCCTGAATGAATAATAAGAATACTTGGATTTTTACAGTACATATTTCTCGAGAATTGTGCAAAAATGGTCACCACCATGCCAGGATGTTGTGTGTGGTTGCTAGGCTGTTGCTATGTGGTTGCAAAAATGTTCTGCTTCTAAATGGTTGTTAGCACAATGTAGTGTGGTTGCTAGGGTGCTCTGAATGGTTGCAAAGTTTTTTAGAGTGGTTGCTCTGTAATTAATCCATGGATTCGTTTCTTGCAGATTTAAATATTTTTTAGCCCCATAATTATATCCGATGCCATGTTTTTAGGGCATGATATCTCAAGAATTATAATTGCTGGTACCTCAAAATGAGCAAAATGTTGTACCCAACTAAAATGTTAATCTCACATTTTGATCATGACAGGGACTAAAGCTGACAGAAAGCCTAATATGGTTTATGCTTTAAGATTAAAATGCATGTATTAGTATTCTTGGTCTTGTGGATTTATTATGGATGTAATTAAGGCCCAAATACCACCCACATCTAGAAATGTTTCACTTTTTTCAACTTTTAAGGGCCAATTTTGAAAATATCTGTACACAGAGGAGACTGAAAAATCTGAACTTGAAGAGAACAAGTTTGTCTTTGTATCTACCAACTCCTATGAGACCAGCAATCATAATCCTTGTCCAATTATAATTCTCATCCAAATATTTTGAAGATGGTGTTCCTCAGAGAAAATGTCCTTGCTACTGTAGATCATATAAGTTGTCAGTTGTTTGTGGGAGTTCCTCATGTGCCAGATAACAGTTAACATTAGGCATGTAACCTTGATGTTTGCTATGCTCTTCCTGTTCATCAATTCAACCTGCTAAAGGAGGAGCCTGGAAGTTTAGTGCTCCATAAAGAGCTTCCTACCCTAGAGAGACAAGTAGACAAGCACAAGCTGCCTTCATTAAAAGAACCCTATGGCACTTTAGCATATAAACGAAGAGCTGTCAGCTCTGGTTTTGGCATAACACCTATTACGCAGACATCTGCCTGAGATGTTGATCAACCTAGTTGCATTTTGCTTTTCTTCATCTCTCAACGCTGTTCCCAGCGGACCATGAAGGTGCCTTGCTTTGGAGTACAGACGAATGAGAGCGAAGGAAATGAATGAATGCGTGATGAATGGAAATGGGACAAGCGTTTGCCGCAGTAGGGAAGTGGAGCGACTGAAGATGAAAAGAGGAAGAATCAGAGAGGATGTGAGAAAGGGGAGGGCAGAGGGGGATGCCCGGTATTCTGCTTCTGAGGGAGTCCTCCCTTGCTCGTTTTTTACTGTCTCCCACATTATTTCACACTGGCACACACACTCATAGATGTATACACTCTCATTGCAATGCCAAGAAGCAAAGCAGACGTGTGTATGAAGATGCTTTCAGTGCCAGCTCATTCTTCCCTCCCATCCTGAGTGCGACAGCCATTGTCCAGGGAGGAAATGAAAGGCCATCAGCATTAGTACGGCTGTCTCCTGCCGTGCCGTAGCTCTCAGCTGAGCCTGTGATCATTAACAGTTGCAGTTTTTATTGCCATAGAATGCTAATTAACCCTAATGTTCTGTTTGGTGTGGAGAGACCCGAAGATGCTTTTAATATCTCAAAAATTACACTTCATACATCATTAGTTTGATACTTCATGAAGTATTCATACTTCAAAAGTTTATAAATGTCTGTCACTTTTGATAAATTTAATTCATCCTTGCTGAATAAAAATATTAATTAACTACTAATAACAACACTGCTGACCCCAAACGTTTGAACGGTAGTGTATCTTCATTAAATAAGCATGACAGCAATGAATCTATTTGCCAGTGTTGGTTGAAGCTGTGAATTATAAAATCGCCAAACATCATTCTTATGGTGAATACCAAAGCACAGTCTTCAGCTGTGTGTTTAAGTATTTACGTAGTGGTTGGTGTGCAAAAGCACAACATTTAACTTGTAAAGTTAAGTAATTTTGTAATTATGTAATTTAATCAAAACATAGAGTGCTACCAGAGTAGTCGGATTCAATTCAACGAGCAATTGAATCTTGTGAGACAGTTCTTTTTAGCAAATTAAAAATGTACAGGAAAGAGTAACTAGAGTAGCCAAATTCATAAGCGAATTATTATTATTATTATTATCCATTTCTTTTTAGCAAATCAAAAACATAAAGCACGACCAAAGGAGCCGGATTCACAAGAAAATGATTCTTAAGAGTCCATTAATTTTTGCAAATCAAAAACTTACAGTACAGTGTGACCATAATAGCCAGATTCCACCACAAATGAAATGAGTCGTTCTTAATGAATTAGTGAATCAAATACATACAGCGCAACCGGAGTAGTCTGATTTAACTCATAAAGTTAATACATTTTATAATTGTGTCATTTATTTTATAAACTGTCATTTTACAATATGCTACCTTTAATAAAATTTAAAGGAATATGTGAAAAACAATTCAACCCAGTTTAGCTGGAAAGCAATATATCAGATGCAACATCCTTGGCTTTGTGCACCCAGTTTTTTTTTTTCTCTCTCTCTGTTTTAAAAAAATTTAAGAACATGGAAGTCATGCTTTTAAAGTGTTAACAGGAATGTTTCTTCTCCCACAATGCCTCTCTCTGATGTATTTTTTTAAATTGATACTTTTAATTGAAATAGAACGTTAATTAAGGGAAGGCCACTCATGATGGAACGGTCCTGCTCACAGATTATCGAATTTCCAGCACAGTGGAGTGCATGCCTCAGGACGTCTTGACATCTTGAGATAAATGAACCCTCGGTCTAGTCTCGCTCACATTGTGTTCCCCAACTACAGACTGTAATATGCACAGGGCAACGTAAACCCATCGGCGGGCTTCCCTGCGGACTAACGGTGCAGGCTTTTATTTCATGACATCCATCTGCAGGCATTTACCCGTGCAACAGCGGCCTCAGATGAAGGCCTGATCAGATAAAGACGGCCTTTGAGCTGTTTTCAATTACAGAGCATTGATCCAGTTCCTCTTAAATGATCCACTTTTAAATCCACTGTCTTTCCACAGGCACTCAATCATGCTCCTGACGTCTCTGGACCGGTCAGCGGCCCGTGGGCTCTGATCAGTGAGGGGTGTCCATTGATTAAGCGCTCCCCCTGATGATCTGTCATGTGGTGGGCAGAGAAGTGATCAGTGTGGATTAGTGTGATCCATCGAAGATTTAAAACCTGTGACAGGATTACCTGCTCTCTGACATCAGGATAGCTTTTCTTAATTGATTGTTTGAGTGGGTGCTTGTCACTGGGAAACCGTTTACAGTTTACAAAGCCGTTTAATTCGTGTTTTAGTATACAACAAATGTGATGGCATCTCTCAATTAAATGCAGTTAAAAAGTTGTTAAAATAATTTATCAAAATTAAATTCTGCTATAAAGCTCCTCAGTCATTATTCAGTTGAAATCAGTTCATTGTTGATTCAATTTGGTTAAATAACTGTAAATTTCATCAATTGTAGAATGAGTTTAATTCATCTAGAAAGCAGCTGTGATGTCATCATCCAGCTCAGTTCAGTTCTCATCCAATAGTGTCCATGCAGTCAAGTCAGTAATATTGCCAAATAGTAAGTGTCCAAAACTAAGCGAGCCAAAAGTCAACTGTGGCAAGGAACCCAAACTCCATTGGTGACAAAAATGGAACAAAAAAAATCTGGGGAGAAACCAGGCTCAGTGGGGGGTGGGGCAATTCTCCTCTGGCCAGATGAACCAACATGGTGTGGTTTAACTCCAGGCTGCATCACGAGTCAGACTGTGGATTGGCATCTTTCAAAATATTCATCCAGTTCCTTCTCCTTGAAGATCGGGCTACTGTACATTACACCAGAGTTTGGTGGGGTGTTAAAGTTAAAGCTGGCCATAGGGTCTGTGCAGAGGACATGTCTGGTTCTTGTAGTCTTCGCAAAGACCTGTCCCAGGCTGCATGCAAAAACAAGATACAAAACAAATTATTCTTATGAGCCAGTTCTTAATAGCAAATCAAAAACATACAGTACAGCATGACCAGAGTAGCCAGATGCACAAACAAATGACTCTGATGAGCTGATTCTTTTTAGTGAATCAGAAATTTGTAGTACAGCATGACCACAGTAGCCAGATTCACAGGAAAGTGATTCTTATAAGCCAGTTCTTTTTAGCAAATCAAAATCATACAGTATGGTCAGAGTAGTCGGATTGATAAGCAAATGACTCTAATGAGCCTTTTGTTTTTAGTGAATCAGAAACATGCAGTGTGATAAGTGTAGCCTGATTACTGAAATGATTCACTCTTATGAGTCATTTTGTTTTGAAGAGTTTCTGATTTGAACCTGTCAAAGAGAAAATTTCTTTCTGTATGGAAGAACATGCAAACAAAATGGACATTATAACTGAAATATCCGCAAATGAATTGGAATTGAATCCCAATTAGATTCAAATCGGAAAAAAATGAGAGTTTGTGAATCAAAATCGAATCCAATTAGGAAATCTGTATTGATAACCAGCCCTGACAAACATTTAAATGTTTTGAATTAAAACCAAGCAAGAGATGGAGTGAATGATGCCTGCTCTGTACTGTTATGCAAAACAGCTGAAATGATAACAGAGCATTGTGTGTTTTAGGTTCTGAGATGGTGCGGTCTATTGCTGGCAGCCACATAAAACTCTCAGTATGATTAAGATGAATCAGCCCACATAAATTCAGAGTGCTGACATAAGCAAATACACTGTCGTCTATGCCCAGCTGGCATCCCTTACGGCTGTAAAATGCACGCATACACACCCACATGCACATTACACATGCATCAAATTTTCATGCACAAGCATGCACGTGTTTCTGAAAGCAGAATGCATGTCACAGCCCACCCACAAACACAATAGCAGACCTACACAGATTTGCTTGAATCATGAAACAGTGTAGCAACTCTTTTTTTTTTTTCAGGTCCTCCTTTACCTCCTCAGGATGTGCAAGTTCAGATGGGACAGACACCTGGAGTCTTGCAGATCCATTGGAAGCCTCCTTCCCTCACTCCTACCGGCACTTCCAATGGAGCCAATGTAATCGGCTACATAGTCTGCACTAAAGGTCAAAAGGTGAAGTGATGTTGCTGATTCTTACTGTCGTCATGCACCATTTGTGCATAACAGCTACTGATCTGCAATAAGCAGTGGGCCCTGCTAATGAAGGCCTAAATGAAAGGTCTAAGGTCAGCTTGGAGGTTGAACATGTTGTGCTAGTTCACATTTTTGAACACTGCTCACTGGCTCCATCAGGTGATCGTTTGTGTCATTTCATGGCCAGTGTTTCCCCTGTGTTATATATAATGCAGGGGTTTATGTAAGTCTTTTTGGACAATGTGACAAAAACACATTTTGAAATAATATTAACCTCTTTTCGTGAGACAAAAAAGTACAATTATTTATGTATCATATATATACAAATGTATTTTTTTTTCTGAGATGTTTTCCATGTACCAGTAGGTTTGAAATATGCTGCTCTTAATAATAAGGATGTCTAAATGGTCCAGGGCCAGTGTGAAGAAGCATGACCCTGTAATTTTGTCACCTTGTTTTACATTCATTACATTAAAGTTTTTTTTTTTTTGCCTGACAAGCTTAAACATTTGATTTTCTATGATGCATTAAGCATCTATCTGTCTAACATTTGTCAAAAGTGTGAGAATACTTGTTATACTCTTATAAATATCATCTGTAATTGGTTGAAAATGATAAACAAATCACCATATGCTGCTGTTTTCTAACAAAAGTGTTTATGAATTTATTTCTGTCACATAATTAAAATATAGCTGTGTAATTTCCAGCTATTATTGGAAATAAAATACTATAAATTATAATATGTATGTACTTGTAAATAATTAAAAAATAAATTGTACGTAAAAATTTAATTTTAACAAACAAACAAAATAAAATGTATTAAAATATATATTATTTCATTATGCAGATTATTTTATGTTTATATATGTATTATATTTTGATTTATAATTATTTTCAAAATTAAAAATATGAAATGTATTTCTATCACATTTAAAATTATCAATGAAGTATTTCATATTTTTATTAATATATTTTTTATTTTAATAAAAATATATAAATTAAATGTTTTTATTTTTAACACAAAATGTAATGCTAAAAATAAAGTTGATCATTTTTATTATGGGGGCAGTGAAAATATCTAATAAAAATAGCAGGTCAAGTACAAATCTGAGTAACTGCCTGACTGTATCTGCAGAAAACACTCATTGTTTATCCTTGCAAAGGCACATTTGTTTATCCCATATTTCTTTTGTTTGTTTGTTTTCAGATAGCAGAGATAATGTACCCCACAGCAGATTTTGTTACGGTGGAACTGAACCGTATCCAGTGTCTGGAAGCGCAGGAGGTCGTTGTGAGGACAATATCAGCACAAGGACCAAAGAGCCAGAGATGGGCAGGCGAATGGGGCAGCCCTGGGAGCCACATCCCAGAGCCCCGTCACCACTTCCGCCCCCTTCACACCCGGGACACACACTGGAGCCCCCTCACATAGAGGGCCGGCGCTCACCCTCCCCTCAGAGGATCTTGCCTCAACCTCAGGGAGTGCCCATTCCCAACACAGTGGCTCGTGCTATAGCCCGCCAGGCGGCGCAGAGGAGCGCCCCGAACAGCAGGGTAAATCCACTGGTTTGTTGGGCTAAATGAGGAAGTTGATGAACAAGATGTCAGAATGGAGGATTGCTGGAATGCTTTGAAGCAGTATGGCAGAGTTTTAATGTACATGATCTTGTTTCAGGTGGAGAGGAGGAACATCTTCAGTGACAGGGGTAACGCTCTGCATTCATTAAACTCAGATGAGGAGGAGGATGGGTATGATTCCCCTCACGCCAGGCGAAGAGGTGCTTCTGTGGATGAGTTTCTCAGAGGTTCTGAGCTGGGCAGACACGTGAGTCTAAGAAATAGCAATCTTTTTGTACTGCACGGGGGGAGTTTTTAGTCAGCTGACAACTTTACCAACACAAGTAATGGACATTTCTGTTTATTTATGCTTTACAAATTATTACAAAATGTACATTCCGAGTGTTATATTATATTGAATATTATATATATTATATATTACAATATATTATATTGAATTATGTTATACTTATATTATGTTGATATTTTATTGAATTAATAATGTATATTACAAATTGTTGGTTATAACTATATTTTGTAACTTAATGTTAACATAAAATAATGAAAAATGCAAACATTTATCCTGACACAAAGAAATATCGATACAAATAACATTTTATATATCTTTATAATCAGGCAAGTATAAAATCTGAGATAAAATATAGCATTCGTACATTTTTGCATGTGGGCCAAATAGGCCCTCAAATATGGGCCTAAATAATGTTCAGGGCCACTTTGTGCTTATTTATCTGTTTCCTTTATTTTTTTATTTTTTTATCTCATTACATTGTTTTCCTTTTGTGTTGTGTTTCTTTCTTTAAGAACATGCAAATAAATCACAGGTCTAAATATAGGGAGGGAAATTATTATATATTTTTTTTTACTTTGAAGTTTTGCTTGTTTTCCTTGGATTCATAAATTAATAATTCACAAATGAAACAAATACAAAATCCAAGGAAACCAAGCAAAACATCAAAGTTATACAAATAACAAAACAAAGACATTTGCAAAACCAATTAAGAACAAAGTATTCATGGGCAAAATTAGGTACCAGAAACATTAGAAAACCAGAGTGTAATTCTAATTACGTGAGATTTCTGTTGAGTTTTAAAGATTTCTTCCTGGAGTGTTAAATCATGAAGATCTCTGTGTGTATATTTCCAGCATCATCACTATAGCCACAGTGAGGAGTACTACACTGAGAGCAGTCGGGGCTCCGATCTGTCTGACATCATGGAGGAGGATGAGGAGGAGCTGTACTCGGAGATGCAGCTGGAAGAAGGGCGCCGCCGCAGCATCAACTCACACAACACATTAAAGGTATGGAACAGACACCCTTCCGGTCGCCGTTTGTCTTGGGCGTGGGCCACAGGGCCGCAGGCTAGAGGCTGGGACAGACGAAGGGGGATGTAGTATGCCGTGTTCTGTAGGGCTCCTCCCAAGGGGTGGTACTAGATGGTTGGCACTTCAACCTTATAGAATAGGCTTGAAAGGCCAACTGCAGTTCAGTTAAGGTGGTCTCTAGAGGTAAGAGTATTTTTGTTATAAAGTAACTCAGTGGATTTGTTCTGAATATATGACTAGAGTTGTTTTTTTGTGTGTTTTTGTGATGGTGAATTTAAAACAGGAGGTGGTAGACCTCTGATGTTGCATAAAAGCTTGAGCGGCAGGATCTTAACAGGTCACCCCATCCTCAGTCTCTCCTGGGTCCTAAAAGTGGGTTTGTGGGTTGGGTTGCTTTGCACTACCAAACTTCGACATCATCCAGTCATTTAGCCAGCTTTGTATAAGCCTGTCCAGTCATACAAAGCTCGATACATCTGAATGGCTTAACCTGAGGCTGCACACGCAATGCATGAGTAAATAATCTAATATGCTTTACGCTCTCCAGATGTTGCAAACTCTGTTGTTCAGTTTTAAGTATTGCATCACTATGCATTTGTATCTAGTAAAAATTGATCTGGATTACTCTATAATCTCCTTGCAGATTCTTAGATTTATTGCATATGACAATCACATATGTGCAGATATATACAGTGTGTATTTGTTTGCTATGCCTGAAGTGTTTACCTCATGGAATATAACGCCATGGTTGTATGTGTTTGTGATTATTATTAAATAAACACAGGGTTTGTTTGTGTATTCTATGCATAAGTATTACATAAATTGAACCTGTTTCAAGTGTCAAATTAGCTCCTACATGATCAGGTGAAAATGAACATATCATTCCAAGGGCATTTTGGGAATCTCATTTAAGTAAAGTCTGCTTAAATGAAACAGTTATTCACTTTTGATTATGTTTGTCTCTTGGTTACACTTCTGTTAAGTTTTACTTTTCTCAGTGTAATTTTACAATTTTGTGAATATCTGTCTTTTCATGAAAAATTTTTAATACTGTTAAGATTTCTTTCAAAATATATTTATGAATAAGTATTATACAGAAAGGGTTCCAAAAATACATGATGTATTGAATATATGAAGCAATAAATGGTATATTATATTTCAGTTTTTGTCATTTTTGTTTTGAGTTATGTTTTTGGAGACCTGGGCAGCTATTGGGATTGTGGTATGAAAACTAACACCTTATATATATAACAGAATATTCCACTGTTTTGAGATATGATTTGCCTCGAACTGCAGACATCTGTGCTACAGTTTGGTATGATACAAAAAAAACTATATATATGCAGTGGTGTCAAACTTATATACTAAAAACAACAATAATTTTAAAAAATATGCTGCTGTAGCAATCACCTCTTAATCTAAAAATATCTGTTACGTGTATCAGGATGTAGAAATTTTAAACTAGATTTGAAAATAGGCTTGAAAATAGATTTGCCTTTTTAATAATATATTTTTTAATTTCCATTCCAGGTTACTGGTCTACTTTTTAACACAATTCACTCGTTGCTTGGCAGATGAATCTCCATTTTTATTTTTATTTTTTTTATTCATGTACTGTATAGTCCTTAGATTCGTTAGTCTTGATCCTTTGATTGCCTGTTATTCATTTCTTAATGTTCTGTGTTCTGAATTCTCATCTGTAGTTTTTGTTGTTGTTGTTGGACTGTGCTTTGTTAGTGGATTGTCTCAATGAGCCCTGCATATGTGATAATCTCCAGTTCTCATTTTCTGTACGGTTTGCATTTCCTGACGTTTTCCTTCTACAGATTCCCTTCCGTCGCATGTCATGTCCGTCATGGAATGAGACTGCATGCCCTACATTCGACCATGACCTCCGATAACTAATTCTGTCTTTATTTTGTCTTTCTTTTCCCATTTTGTTCTCTATTTGCACACTGTTTTATCTTCTCTGCCTGTTCTAACACCATCAAACAAAACCCACCCAAAAAAATCCCGATTTTAACAAACTGAAAAACGTCCAAATCTAACTGAAACTTTGGCTCCTCCGTCAATCACCCTTTCCGGCTTCTAAAAGGCATATTACAGGCGTCAGGACCTTGCGGTGGACCGGGACAGTTGGGACCTGCAGCGGGAGGTGGTACGACAGCGCTCCTTGCGCTCCCACAAGCGGCTACACAGCATCCCGGAAGTTGCCGAGGAGGAACCGGACACCGGGGTGGAGGTCATGGGTCAGCGGCTGCGTTTCGAGGAGGCTCGTCCAGGCACTCCTTGCAGGAGCCCGCAGCCCTACGACCAGGACTCACGGCAGTCTAACCACCTTTCCCCGAGCAAGAGCGTCCGCAGGCTGCAGAGGCAGCGCTCCTCTCCACGCTACAGCTCCATAGATGAGCGGCCACCGTGCTGGAGCAGCAGCAGTAGCAGGCAGACCACCAAGAGCCCAGACAGCGGACTAGACTGCGGGAGCGAGGAGGAGGGCTCGCTTGGCTACCGTGGAAGCTACCACTCGTACACGGGGGGCAGCCCGCTGCGGGTGGGTTCTGGCCCCAACATGCGGGTGATCCACAGTGAGGGGCCTGTGGAAAGGCGTGCTCTGGCTGCTGGCAGGAAAAGGTCACTGACCCGGCAGTGCAGCATGGAGGAGGACTTCCTGGATACCATTCCGGAGACAAGGAGCATGCGGGAGTCGTACCACCATTACCACTATCATCCACACCTTCACCATCCCCAACGCAGGTTCCGGAGCGAGGGCAGGCTGAGCGAGGTTGGCAGGACCCATCACACGGACATTAGGGCCTACTCTGTGGCCAGACTCAACAGGGCAATGGATGAACCCCTGGTGTGTGTCTCCTACCCCTCCTCTCACACTTCCACCCTCTCCTCATCTACCAACTGCTTTGTGTTCTCATCGACAATCGATTAAACCATTCTTCTGTTCATGGTGTTCCACCCAGTCTGTCATTGGTTTATTTGGTTTTGTTTTTCTTGTTTTGCTTTTTTGTTTGGTCTATTTTGCTAGACGTTGCTTAACTTTATGTTGTTGTTTGATTTCACCTTTTGATATTACTATGTTTGGGGGGGATTTTAGCTTGTATGATCTTTCTTGACTTTCTTGATTTGGTTTAGATCTCATGTGACTTTGTTTGATTCCTAGAGTGTCTAGTGAAATTTTTTTAGATGTGTAGATTTGTTTTGATTACCTAAAGGCCATTTCTGAGTGTTTCTTGTTTCTGATGTAAGAAGAGTCACAAATCAAATGACAATGTTTCCACAGTCCTCCAACTTATACTTTAGAGTTCATATTAATAGTTTCTGGCAGAGGTATTCAACCCTGTTCCTGGAGACCCACTATCCTTCAGAGTTTAGCTCCAACCCTAATCACCTGAACCAGTTAATCCATGTCCTCAAGATCACTTGAAAACTCACAGGCAGGTGTATTGAAACAGGTTGGAAATAAACTTTGCAGGATAGTGGGTCTCCAAGAGCAAGGTTGAAGACTTCTGGTTTAGAGCAGTGTATACAAACCCTGTTCCTGGAGGCACCCCGTAAGGACACATTTTGGATGTCTCCCTTCCATTTTAGGTCTTGGAGTCTCTACTCATGAACTGATGAGTTGATTTAGATATGTTTGATTGGGAAGAGTTTAAAAATGTGTAGTGTTGGGGTGCCTCCAGGGGCAGGGTTGGGAAACACTGGTTGACAGTTGTTAATGGGAAGCTGGAAAGACCAAAAGTATGGCTAATCTGCACATTTAACAGTGCACCATGGACACGTTATTCAAGCCAGTGAATGTGGTGCCACTGATTAGAACGGTCAAAGCTGGTTTGTTTAGGCATCGAGTTTGGGCTTGAACAGATAACTCATCCTCACTTATTTGGATTGAGTAGTACAAATATATCATTTTTTGATGTGTTTTGCTTCCCATAGTTGTTTTCTTCTAATACCTGCTCATACATCAAGGTTTTTGCACTACTGACCTAATAGTACTAAATATTCGAGGGGGACCAAATGAAAATTTCAAGAATGAGATATTGAAAAATTGTCCATTATTCTGAAAATTCCGGGGAAATCTCCCAGGATGTCTGTGGTGGTTAAGGTCCTGAATACTGTCATATACAGATTTTGAGCACGCTAAATAGTTGTAATGACAGTTTTATATACTCAACACATTACATTACGAGTGTAGGCAGACCATAATTTAGAATGATATGATTTAAAAAGCTCATCACAAACTACATTGAAAACTTTACCATATGAACTAAAGAGGAGCAGAACAAAAACCAAAATGGTCTTTAGTTAAGCATCTGATTTCTGCCAAAACCCTGCTCATGTTGTTGTCAGAGTTTGTTTCAATTGTTTATGTTGAATGTTTTGGCGGGTTCATCCTACTTGTTTTGATAGAATCTCGTTCTCTAAAGAAATCAGTTTAATTTTTTTTTGGGGGGGGGGGATGATGGGAATCTTTTTTTAATATGATATCTATTTTTAAAGCACCACAGGCTTTGATTAACATTTTAATATTTGCTTTTGAAGATTTTAGGGAGCTCTCCCTCAACAGGACGCTCGGATCGACTGGACCATTCCGGCCGTAGGACGAATCACGGCTATCCACCCGCTCAGAGAAGACCAATGACAGTCCCTTCCATTGGTTAGTGTGGTCACATGATGTTTGGACTCTCCCTCCCTTCCTTTAGTGTCTTTCGTAGAGACACCTATTGTGTGTTCCTCTGTTTTCCTTACATGTCATGATTACAGTTCCAGTGTTCTGTAAGCCATTGGAGTCACTTTTGGTTGACCTTTGCCATTGATTCTATTTCAGATTCACTAATAATTAAAGGATTAATTCTAGTATACAAATGGTACCGTACTCTTAACAGGCCACACACTGTCGCCTAGACAACCATCATGTTAAACATTGCTGTTTTACTCTGGCGCAACTCATGTCAGCCGGCTTTCAATACTGTTTTAAGATCAGTGTGCCATTTTTAATGCCTTAGTGCTATAGAATGGCACTTCCGATCCTAAAACACACATCGAGAGCCTTGAAAATGTCATAATCCACAACTCACTGGCTGAGTAGAGGGGCTGTGGCTGTAATGCTCTGATTGGTGTTTCCATAGAGATCACCGTGGAGAATAACAGTGAGGGGAGTGAGGGGAACCTCTCACCTATCAAGGACGATGTTTACTATACCAATGTAGCCCACCGCAGGACATGGCCCCCACAGCGAACAGAGCACCGATATGGTATGTGGCGTGGCTCCTCCATGAAAAAGAAAATTTAACCAAAATTACCAGAACAAATTTGAACTGATATATCAGATTATTACAAGAGTATCTTGTTTAAAGACCCTTATGAAATCAAAGTAAGAGTTTTGTGGCTTTTAGTGCATTTCTGTTAGCTTTGAGTGGCCTATACAAATAGCTTACAAAGCCAGTTTCAGTTACTCAGGTAAATTCAGTTTGAGCAAACTCTTATTTTTCAGTTTGAAGAAGTGGGATTGGTTTTAATCGGTGTAACTGTCATAGCAACCTAGTATAATATAGTAGTATATTATATTATATTATATTAGTTTAATATTTATTTTATATGAATTATATATATATATATATATATACATATACACACACATACACGTGTGTGTGTGTGTGTGTGTGTGTGTGTGTGTGTGTGTAAACTTACCTTTCTTTAGGTAAGTCAACTCCTAGTCCACTCCTAAATACTGACGAAATACACTGTTGGCATATACTAAAACAAACTTTTGTACCACCCAAACTCCCTTTTTCAGTAGGAAAAACATCAGTTCAGGAAAGCAGAGTGCATTTTTCAGGTAATTTCATGGGGTCTTTAAATGATTATTTCTTAACTTAATGCAGGTTAAGCTCTACTGACTGCTTCTGTGACATGCTGTTTATCACAGATGAAAATTTTCTTACAAAAAAATTCTTCAGTTTCTAAAAAAATGACAATGCCTCACAGCAGTTTCACCAGAATAAATGGTAAAAATAAAACACATGGTCTCAGAAGTACAGCCACAAAACTTAAACATAATACATGAGATTAGTGTGACGATATTGCTTTATTAACCTTGTTTAAATTAAGTCATATCCAGTCTTTCAGCTCCTGTTATGTCCACGCTAGACCCTTAAACCTTAAACTTTCACAAATAGGCTAATTATAGGGACGCAAACATGTACAATAACTACACAGAAGTTCAGCAGTAGTAAAATTTGGGACAGTTGTACAGCTCAAACAGCACATATATTTAGCCAAAAATACAAGCTTCACATTTCTTTTAACCTATAGATTTACATTGTAAATGTAGTACTGTAAACAAACATAGCTTACAAATCAGAAGCATGTCTCAGACACAGTTGCTAGAGCTGTACTTGTATTGTTAACCTTAAAAAGAACAGAAGCTGCCTTTACCTGATAGACATGCAGGAGCCTGTCATTAACATTTGGAAGACAAATATGGATGAGGCATATTTATTGAGCTACCTTTTATATGTATATTTAGGTTTTAATCAAGAGGCAATTTCTATTTATGTACTATTATTTTACCTTTCCTCCATGTTAATTTTTCTTTATTTTAGTTACAGATAACTAGGATTAGGTTAGGGTTTCGGTCTGTTTAAGGGTGATTGCTCCTTTCTTTGTGCTCATTGTGTGGTCTAAAACACCAGACAGTGTTTGTGAACCCCTCTTCTCCTCCTCTTGCTCCCCTTGTTGCCTTTTCCTCATCATTCAACTTTTACTGAGCTTCATTTGAGATCCTCGATTGTTTCATTTGCATGAATGTCTTTCTACTGTTGGATGTGGTAAGATTGCAAACCATAAGAGCAGAGATGTCTTCACTCCTGTGCCAGCTTTCATAGAGGACTATGATAATAACTGTGATTTTAAATGCTGCTTGTGAATGTTCTACATATCCTTATCAGTAACTGGGTGCATGATTCACTTTTATCAGCTCCATATACACTTTTAATTAACTGTCATGGTCTACTATTTCAGAATCAGAATCAGAATCAGAAAGAGCTTTATTGCCAAGTATGTTTGCACATACCAGGAATTTGTTATAGTGTCACAAGCTTCCAGTACACGGAGACAACAACAACACACAGATAATAAAAATAAGATGTGAATAAAATACACATGCATAAATATAAACCACAAAAACAGAATTAATTGTATGTACAGGTGTGCTATAGATAGAATAGAAATAGAATAAAATAAAATAAAATAAAGTTGTAGGGATGTACTAGGATTTAGGGTGATAAATAAGTATAAGGTTATTGCACATACTTTAATTGAGAGGGGGGTTGCAGGAGGTGTTGATGGTTGTGTGGAGAGATGTTAAGAGCGGGTGTGGGGTGTTAGACTGGGAGTTTCAGATCTACAGTAAAACCCATTCAGGTCTTCAGCAAGTTGTTGATTGGCCTCAGTGCTGGGGGATGGTGTCTTGTAGTTGGTGATGTCTTTCAGGCCTTTCCACACTGATGCAGGCTCATTGGCAGAAAACTGGTGTTCTAGCTTTTTAGCGTAGTTCCTCTTGGCCACTCTAATCTCCTTATTCAGTGTGTTTCTGGCCTGATTGTACAAGACTCTGTCCCCCCTTTTGTAGGCGTCCTCTTTGGCCTGACGAAGATGACAAAGTTTTGCTGTAAACCATGGCTTATCATTGTTAAATGTTAAATGAGTCCTGGTAGGGATGCACATGTCTTCACAGAAACTGATATATGATGTTACAGATTCCGTGAGCTCGTCCAGATCGTTGGTGGCAGCTTCAAAAACACTCCAATCAGTGCAGTCGAAACAGGCTCGTAATGCCTGCTCTGTTTCGTTGGTCCATCTCTTTACAGACTTTTCTACAGGTTTAGCAGATTTAAGTTTATGCCTGTAAGTCGGTATAAGATGAACCAGGCAGTGGTCAGAGAGTCCTACAGCTGCTCTGGGGACCGAGCGATATGCATCCTTTATTGTGGAGTAACAATGGTCCAGTATATTACTGTCTCTGGTGGGACATGTAACATGCTGTCTGTATTTTGGCAGTTCACGGGAAAGATTTGCTTTATTAAAGTCCCCGAGAATGATTAAAACAGAGTCCGGGTGTTGTTGCTCTGTCTCTGTGATCTGATCAGCGAGTTTCTGTAAAGCTGAGCTCACGTGCGCTTGCGGAGGAATGTAAATACTCACGAGAATGAACGAGTGAAACTCCCGCGGCGAATAGAACGGCTTACAGTTAATGAAAAGCGCTTCTAGATAGAACGGCTTACAGTTAATGAAAAGCGCTTCTAGATCGGATCTTCTAGATTTGGTATTTACTCCTCTCTAAGACTTTGGTATACGATAACAGAAAAGAGATTAGTAGTGGATCATTCCAGTGAAGTATTGCTAAGTGAGTTGCTGCATGTCTGTCCAAGAACGTTCTGTAGGTTGTTACAGTAAAACAGCAATGTTTTTATTGTTCCCTTTTAATATGCATGGCGGTTTCAAACATGTTCTTACTGCATTCTTCTGTTTTCAGTATGCTTGTATATTATCCCACTGATGTGCTGTGTGCTAGATCATTTTACTGTATAGGGAACATGCATTTGTATCAAGTGTGATTCGCATTTTTATCAGTATTTTATGTTGATATGTAGTTTTAAGATGCAGTCTCACTTTAAGAAGGAATCGTACTGTATGACATATAGTCATATAGCAGCATACTGTATGTAATTTTCCTAACATTTAGCTGTCACAGACTGATGCCTCTGAGGATATAGATTAGGCTAAGCATGCTGCGGTCTCTTTTTGGCTTTAGCTGTCCTTTGGTTTCTGTGTATAGCAGAAGCTTGCCCTCTCCTGTGTTTCAGATGGTTATGGAGGACGGGACCGGCGGTCTCCAGACTACTATGAGTCAGAGCCAGAGGACTTGTCCCGAATCTTTGTGGCCATGTTTGACTATGACCCCCTGTCAATGTCTCCTAACCCTGATGCTGCTGTAGAGGAGCTTCCCTTCAAGGAGGGCCAGATCATAAAGGTTTGATTTGAACTGAGTGATGTCAAGCAATTCTCAGCAGTCATTTAATTTCATAGCTTGTTTTTCATTTCTTTCCACTTTTTAAGACTTTTTGTTTCTACTCTATTTAGGGATGCATCGATACAGATAATTGATCATTATATTTATGTATTAATATGCCAGTTTAATTGCCAATAGTTAAAAGTAGTGATTATTAAATTATACAGTATAATATTAAATTATTAATATAAATTTTTTATATAAATGTATCAATACAGTATATATTCAATATTGTTTATTACTATAACTATATTACACTTTTTATTAATTCTATATAATAAATAAATGATAATAAATATTTATTTATATGATGATAATAAGAATTATTAATTTATTTTTTTACATTGTGCTTTCATAATTGTATGTTATAAATTCTATTCTGGTTTCTATTCTATTTAGGGATGCACCAATAATAAAAAGTTGATACCAATTGTTGATGATATTTATGTTTTTTGTCCAAATTAAAAATACTGATTATTAAATTATACATTTATAATTTTTCAAATATTAATTTAGCAATATAATGATTATATAATCAACAGTAATTTTTACATTTATATTTATGTATATAAATATTTATATGGATTTATAATTAATAATATTTTTATGTTAAAAACACATTAATAATTTTATACATGACTAATTGTATAAAAATATTTTATTAAATTATATTGTTTGATTCTATGCACCAATACAGAAGTTTTGACTGATAAAATAATTGATCATTATATTTATATATTTGTAACAATATAGTTGCCAGTATTGAAAAAAAAAAAAAAACTGATTATTAAATTGTTCTTTTTATTGTTACTTTACTGTATTTTATATCTATTCATATGTATATGGCTTTATAATGATTTCAAGTGCTAGTCTAGTGCAAGTCAGTTCATTGCCATCTTGCCATTTCAATGTTAATAATATCTTCTGTTTGCAGTGTCCATTTACATTTATTTAATTACCAGACACTTTCATCCAAAGTGACATACAAATGAAAATAATACAAGCATAAGTGAATAATCCGTACAAAATTGAGTAGAGCGGTAGTGCAAGACATTAGAGAGAGTGTAATTAAAAAGGCAATGAAATGAGTTCAATTATGTCCCTGCTGTGTTGTCCAGGTGTTTGGAGAGAAGGACACAGATGGATTCTATAGGGCAGAGATCTGTGGCCGCAGCGGGCTCATCCCCTGTAACATGGTCTCAGAGATCCAGACGGATGATGATGACATGATGGACCAGCTGCTCAAACAGGGGTTTCTTCCTCTCAACACGCCCATTGAGAAAATAGGTATGATATGAACTAACAGGTAGTTTGTGCTGAACCCTGTCCATCTCACCCCTATATGCTTCATTTTCTGACTATTCTCTTTCTTTCTGATTTAAGATTTAACATGGTGCTAGTCTGTAAGTTGTCTACCTTTTCCATACTATTCCTTACAGTATACAGTATAACTCTTAAAGGGATAGTTCACCAAAAAATGAAAATTCTATCATCACTTATGTTGTTCCAAACTCGTATGACTTTTTTCATCTGGGAAAATAAAGGAATCATAGCAGATTGTCAAAGATGGATTATTCCTTTAAATCCTGTGCCTTCCTTGCCTTCATTCTTTCCCCTCTCTCTTTCATTTCTTTCTTGTTTTCCTCTTTTCTTTTCAAGTAAACTGTAATAGGTTCAAAGATGGCCGTTCAGTTAATCGCAGGTCCCGGAAATCCAAGAGAGGTTTGTGCCCACAAAATTTTTCCACCAGTTTTCTCATTCAAACCTTTCTTTGCTTTTCCACTTAAGTGCCTTTTCACAGCTCACCTCCATGTTGCCCTTCAACACTTGAATGTCACACAAGCATAAGTTATTCTTTCTGTTCTCACTGACACCTCATACAGGGAATAATGCAGATTGAACAGTAGAGTCCACAAGTCTGAAACTGCTCTGAAAATGGTTCTGTTTTATATTTTAGAGCATCTTGAGCTATAAGTAGGAACATCTGACTGAGTTTACTGAGTACATATGATCAGTGTCATGCATTTACTTTTGATTTCTTTGTTTTAATTTTTTTCTCAAACTCTATTTCTTTTCATTTTCAATGTGGATTTTTCAATATGCTGTAGACTCAAACTTTTGGACCCTACAGCTCAGAATAGTGGACATTTGGATTTGATATTGATAACTTGTCTACTAAATGTACCTTCTGTTTTTTCATGACTGTATTCAAGAAAAAGTTCTGCATGTGCCAGCGAAGAACATATTTTGCAGAATTTGTATAATTAATTGTCGTTAAAATTTATGATAATAAATATTAAATGCCATTGGTTGTCAATGTTGCTGTATTGGCTTAGTAGAAAGTATTTTAACATTGAAAAGAAAAAACACTTGGTAATATGCAATTCTATGCAATACATAGACATTCTATGCAATATGTATGTCTTGATGTCATTATTACAACAAGGCCTGCTGTCATTCATAAATCATGTTCTTTTTTGACATATTGTTTAATTTTAACATTTTAATCATCAAAGAGTACTTTGTTTTTCTTTCTCTTCCGTATTTATTGCTTATTTATTTGTTTTGCTCATTTATTCTTAACCTCTTTTTTCCAGAGAGGAACAAAAGGAGTGGAAGGCAGCACCAGGTGTCGACGCGGAGGATGGTGGCCCTGTATGACTATGACCCCAGAGAGAGCTCACCTAACGTGGATGTGGAGGTACTAATAGACTCCATTTTGCCCTGGCTTTTTCTTGTGCTTACTGTCTCATCCCATAAGCTTTTGATTTTACGCTGGCTTGCCTGGATGTCTGCCTTTGTAATAGCCACCAAATTCATTTTCTGCCTATTTTCCATGCTTTTGGGGCAACAGTGTGGTTTGTGTTTTAATTGTTACTGTTCATTCAGATGGCACATGGCAGCTCTAAATGTTAAGTTCTGGTTAAAAAGAAAATGAAAATTCTGTCATTATTTACTCACTGTTACTGTACGTCATTCTAGTCCTGTGTGACTTTCTTCTGTGAACCTATCCTTTTTAAAGTTGAAGTGTGTCATTTCTGTGCCAAACAGAATTGAAGAATTCCTGTTTTAAAACAGGATTCCCCCAAACTCCCCCTTTCTGCCAGTTATGTGCACAGTGCACAGTTTTAATATTATTTTTACATTATTATAGTATTTATTAATATTTTAAATTAGCTTTTTATATTTTATTTTATTATTTTTAATATATTTTCAGATTAATTTTTAAATTGTAATTGAGTTTTTAGTAAATGTATATTTTCTGTCATTTTGTTTAGTTTTTTAATATTCCCGCTATGGGGGCAGCTTGCAGAGTGAGGAGGTGAGTGTGGAAGGAAGTAGTGAGTCTACACTCACTGGGCCTGTGCCAAATGACACTCTATTTCCTGCTGAGGGAGCTCACTGCACTGCATCAGCACCTGTACTGTCTGGACATCTCACTTACAGGACCCAAAGATCATAATGCACGTGCAATACATTTGCATTTTATACTGAATGTGTTTTAAAACCTTCATAATTTGCTTGATGAATGATTCTCTAAGGAAATAAGCTTAACGAAAAGCTTTATATTCCGTGATGCTTAAGTGAACATTGAATTGAATTCCAAGGTGTATGCATGAACTTATTGGATATCACGAATCATCATAATGCATTTATAAAGGCTTTGTGAAATCTGCTCTGCTGTAAGTGAGTGAGTTCCTATGAAAGGAATAGGGAATGGTTATTTGTGACACTGTGTGTGGTTTTTGCTGCTGTTGTTGGACTGGAGGTAAAGGGTTACACAATCACTGTGGTTTGTGAACACAGCTCCCAGTCTGACAGAGAGGACCTGCCTTGCCCAGTGTTGGTTGATCTGTGTGTGTATTTCACAGGTCTGGTGGATGTTGTTTTGAACCTGAACTAGAGAATGTTGCTATAAATTATTGCTATTTAATTTTCATTCTGATAGGGTATGTAGAGATTCTTATAGATATATGATGTTACTTAGGTTTGTTTTTAGGAGTATATAGTTAGACCTAAACCTCATGTAGGTTGAAGGTTTTAATTCTGTCAAAGTTATGTTGTCTTCAATATCTAAATAGCGTGTAAGTGTCCAGAAGTGAGAAAAAGTCCCCTATAGACATGATAGGTAGATAGAGAGAGAGAGAGAGTGTGATAGATAGAGAGAGAGAGATATATAGATAGATAGATAGAGAGAGAGAGAGAGAGTGTGATAGATAGAGAGAGAGAGAGATATATAGATAGAGAGAGAGAGAGAGAGAGAGAGAGAGGCTGATTTATGATTAATTGATCCTTTAAAGTTATTAATACATCTGCATTGTGGTTGTAACCATTGCATATTAAATTAGCTCTATGGCAGTTATGAACGATGACTGATATCTAACATGTTTTACTTTTTCTGCCCTTCAGGCTGAGCTGACATTTTGTGCAGGTGATGTGATCACAGTTTTTGGAGAGATCGATGAGGATGGCTTTTATTATGTGAGTAAATTATTCACACCATCTCTGTTTTTGGTGCAGACACTGTACTATTCCGCGAATGTGTATTGCAAAACACCTAATGCTGTTCATGTTTGAGGTTAGTCCTGCTTTTAGCCCTGAACACAGGAGAGCCGCCACACTGGGATTTAGCCTTAGATGCATGATGTCCTCTGTTTTCTATTCAGGGGGAGCTCAATGGACACAAGGGTCTGATCCCTTCCAACTTTCTCGAAGAAGTGCCTGATGACGTGGAGGTTTACCTCACCAACACCCCGAGCCGTCACCCCCAGGACCACCCGTCCCGGACAAAGAACAAAAGGGTACATCCTGTTTCACACTAGCCCTCTGTCATCCATTCGCTCTTTTTTAAATCTCCTTCCTGCTCCGCTGTTTTTTTCCCTCTTCTCCGTCTGTGTGTTGTGTTGTGTGACAGCCGGTTGCTTTTCTGATGGATCATTGAAGGAAAACAGAAAACAAAAGAGAGACAGCGTACTAAACACAGAGGCATACCGTAATATACAAGACTGAGGAACCTTTATTTTTATGTCAGATGTTCTGCGGTGGAGAAATGTGAACTGTTAATGAAATTGCATATTCATAAAGCATTGTTTGGAAAAGAAGTATTCACACAAAGAGACGTGCCAGATTACTAGTTGTTTATTGTTATTATTTATGGAAAAAGAAGCACTAAAAGACTATTATTTTTTACCTAATTCACAAGTGAGGCATTGTAATAGATGCTTTATGAATGTAACTGTGTTTAAAAGTGAAATCAATTTATAATAGAGGAGATAGTTTTGATGTACAGAGAACTGAAACCATGTAGAACTGCATGCATTTTCTTTCAGAATGCTTTGACACCACCGTGAAATTTTTAAGGTGCTTTAACGGATTGAGACCAGATAAAAAAACAACAACAACCTTTTTGTATATGTTTCCAAAAGAATTGTTTTTGTATATTGCTGATATATAAGACTATGAACTTAAAGAGAGACACAAAACAAATGTTGCAAGTAGAGAGAGTTCAAGAATGATTTTATCTGTAGATGTAGATATTGTACAATTGTCTGTATAAAAAAGAAGAAAAGAGAAAAAAGAAAATATAATTGCTGATGGATGTTCTGCTCAATCATCAGGACCCATCAAGGTTTTTCTGTACTGAAAGTTTTGTGATTCTTTTCTCATATTCATTGTGCAGACAATTGAAATGCATTGCATCATGGCATTGTTTTTTTTTTTTTTCTCACTTGCTTGGCAAAACAGAAGAAGAGTGTTCATTTCACTCCGTAACGGCTCAGTATCTGTCACGTAAGTGAGCAACAGAGGATACCACAAATAACGCTGTCCTCGTCTAATGCACACGACGCGGGTCCTTATTACTGTTGCTCCTGGTATGCACAAAACACACGCATATGACACATTCACACCAACCATTTACACAAAAGATTTATAAAAATTGGTCACATACTCACAAAATCATTAAGTTTATGTTTTTAAGTTTGAATGGCTCAAATCACCATTTCAGAATTTACATATGAACTAAAAGACGTGATTAATGGCATTTTTATTTTAATAAATATTTTATTAATATTTAAATGTTTCATTAATATGTACTGATTAATATGTTTATTGTTTACTAATATTTATATTTTATATTTATAATTTATTAATATATAATTATGTCATTTTTAATGTTTGCCATTTCAATATTAACATTTTATTTAAAATATTCATATATAAAGAATATTTTTATTAAAACAATATTTTTATTATTTAAAAAAGACATTTTCATTAAAATTACAATTTAATTAATAGCAGTTAAATAGTGTTAAACTGACAGTCTTAGTATGCACACAAATTCCCTACAGATACATGCACCGACCAAGTTACTCATCAAAACACCCCTATAATTCTAATGGCCTGGAATTACCATGTCATATTTTTTGTGCATCGGTTCACAGTACCACAAGTATGGATGCTCCGAGAGCTGTGATTGGTCCACTGCAGTCAGTGCATTAGACAGGCACAGCTGGTATCTTCAGTTGTTTCTCTGGGTGTTGTCTATTATAATGTTCATCTTTCATTGACTCCTACTGTAAGTCATAAGAAGCTTTAAGGCCATTGTTGCACGGTCAGAATTGGACCCCAGACCCCCTTACCCCCACCCCTTCTCTTCTCAATGTGTGCAGTTTAGTAGCTTCCTAGTGTAAGCCCTGGGACAAACCCTCTCCTCTCCTGTAGCTGTGCACACTATCATACCACACTGAGCACAAATTCACAATAAATGCTTTTGAAATGAATATGGAAACATTGGCAAGGTCAGCCAGATCATAAAGGTGTGTGTGTGTGATTGGGGTGCACTATTTCCATGAACTCTATAAGAATGATCAAAAATGTCCAGCAAGCATAAGTATCATTACCCTTATCTCTCTAAAGAGTAGATTTTAGTTATATACTGTTTCCTAAACTTGACTGAATTGATTGTTAAGTTTATGCATTCTTGCAGCCACTTTTGTAAATGAAGCTTTTTTAAAGCAGGTTTGATTTGGCTCCAACACCCTTGGTGAAGTTACCATGCTGAAAGGTGATAGATTACGTCAAAAGACTGGTAAATTAAATACTTATCTTCTCTTTTCATTACCATTATAGATTATGTTGCTGTTAGCATAAATATTCATTTAAATGTTGTGTTATGCAACTATACAACTGATATTAAGGGCAAATTATGGCATGTAAAAGATATGTTTTTGCTGTTAAAGTAATAGTTCACCCAAAATGGAAATTTGCTGAAAATGTACTCATCCTCTGGCCATCCAAGATGTAGATGGGTTTGTTTTTTCATCGGAACAGATTTGGAGAAATGTAACATTGCATCACTTGCTCACCAATGGATCCTCTGCAGTGAATGGGTGCCGTCAGAATGAGAGTCCAAACAGCTGATTAAAACATCACAATAGTCCACAAGTAATCCAGACATCCGTTAACGTCTTGTGTGTCATTAAGATGTTTTTTAACTTTAAACCATTGCTTCTGGCTATTAATATTACTTTCTCCAGTGAAAAAGTTGTCTAGTCTGACTTTGATGTTTTCCTGACGGCACCCATTCACTGCAGAGGATCCACTGGTGAGCAAGTGATGTAATACTTATACTAATACTAATAATTTCTCCAAATATGTTTTGATGAAGAAACAAACTCATCTACATCTTGAATGGCCTGAGGTTGAGTACATTTTCAGCAAATGTTCATCTCTGGTTGAACTATTCCTTTAAGGAGTTCCTAATTAGATGATTGTCACTAAAACTGAGATTACTGTCATGTCAATGTGTATAAACAGTAAATGTCTTATGATTTTTTTGTTGCACATGCAGTCTGAACAGTTTATTAATATTTTAATGAGAGTTTAGCTAGAATCTTAAGTGAAGCGCACTCGATTTTCTGGGTTTCACCACATATCATTCATAGATTACGGTTTAGAACGCTGCCCCCTACTGTCTGGGTGTATTATTCATGATGAAAAATATACTATTGATTGATAATTGACTGTATGGTGGCCCTGCTGGGACAGAAAGGACTGTGAGAGGAGATGGAGTGTCTGTTGTACAGTAATGACATTGAGATGCTTTAAAAGGCAAAGAAACACCTTCTTTCCTTTTTAAACATCCGGCCCTGAACTGTCCCTTGCGGGTCTTCCGTTAGGTTCCCGTGGAAAAAGCGGGCCCTCCCAGAAGAAGTGCCACCCCCACAGTGCGCC